TACTAACATTTTCAAGCATACAGTAAGCTACATATAAATGTCGCTGCAAACATATTTGACTTTCACGTAGCTTCTATTTATGACTTTTTGGAATGACATGCACTGTGGGGGTCGAATTAAAATATTACAGTAAAGAATGAATAGTTTAAAGATACAAAGTCATCAAGTAATTTCTCTTCGGATACTGCAATATGTGTCATTAGTTTTCAAACTAAGATCAGAGTTCACAAAATCTACTTTAATTCAATATTTCAACTAATTTTCAACTAAAATAAATTTCAATATATTTAACGGTATTATACAAAATAAAGAAACCTAATCTACCAGAGACATAGGTAAGTTTATCTGAAGTGTTCAACTCTGTGATATCGCAGACAAATTGGATCTACTCTGGTGTTATTGACAGGCCATCAGCCAGCCTTCAGTAGCTCTGAATTTTGTTCAAATATGTAGTTCGTAGTTAGTCTCCAGACTTTCAAGTATATAAACAATTATAAATAAAATGAAATAACATTTGATTCTACGTATATATTAAATCAAATAATGAATTATTGTAATATCTATGTAAGTAAATCAATTATGAACAGCCGAATTTATATTCTTTTTTTAAGTGTAACTAAATAAAAAAAAAATAGTATTGTTACATACGACAATGTTAAATTCAAATAAATAAAAGTAAAAATTTTGTTAAATTAAAAAAAATAATGTCAGAATTGATATATTGATAAATAGGTAAGAGTATAATTATTAATTTTATTTGACTAAATAATCGTGCTGTGTAAGAAAGTATACGTACACTAAACCGGGTAACAAGTCTGAAAACAAATATAAATAATGTGGAAGGAAAAAAATAAAAATCAATATTACATATGTAATATATAAACTATGTATTTCTACTATACTTCCTAGCGTCATGATGTATCATGAAGTAAGAGGAAACATAATTTTCAAAGCATTGAACAATCAAAGAAAATTTCATGCCCGTCATATTTCATGGTTCATTCATAAATTAGCATTGTTTACTGGAATTTTGAGTTCCAACTTTTACATTAAGGCGGTGGGAGCCGAGAGTTGGAAACAAAATATTTTTACGGCTTTTGCCTCCAGGTGTACAAAACGAACAAGATACTCCCCTTATTAATATTTTTACATATTCTTTTGGAGGTATTTTTTCATCAATGTCAGTTTCTCTCGTCTATCTACTCACTTCTTATAGATTAAGATGTTTGCGACGTTAACAGATTATTTTGTGCATAACTTTATGCCTATTCTCTAAATATTGTACTTATTTTCTAAAATAAAATGTTTGCTTACATTTCAGTTTGTTAGGTTTATATTTACGACAGTTAAAAAAAATGTCTTAAAATCAGATGACATCTGTAAATTTATTATTTATATACGAAATTTTTTTCTTCTTTTTTATCAGTATTCTTTCTTTTGTTATTAATTGTTCGTGTAATTAATCAGAAATGTAAATTTGTTTCCAAAATAACTACTCGGTTTTATGGAGAGACTTTGTAAGCTGTTTTTTGTACTTCAGAACCTAACTAACTATTTCAGTCATCTTATTCCTCCATAATTTTCCAATTACTTTGTTAAATCGAAAATGATATAAAATATCAATACTTCAGATTGTCCTATTATAATTATTCTTATCATAGTATTATAGTACATTTCTAATACTGATTATATGACTGAAATAAATGATAGCTACTTAGATATAATTCAGTGGGTATTCATGACGCAACCCTCTTGTTTGCTAAAATTAGATGTTTCATCTTATTTTTTTGTAGGTATGCCTACAGCATTTCGAATCCTTTTGATTCTTCACCTCAGAGCAATAATAACATTCCTATGTGGTGCAAAATTCTGTTTGAGTTTGCCATTTTACGCTTCAAAGAATTTAATTTTCGTGATCATTCGATGGAGGTAAATTAAACATGAAAGAAACCCGTTGGGAATGTAATCAGAAGCGGTAATATTCTATAAATTTGTACGTATTTCTTAGGTACCTACTACAGTAAACATTTGGGACAGATTTTCAGTTTGCTTTACCTATTGTTTCATATTTAATACCTGCCTATACTGTAATTTGTATTATCATTGTATCAAAGAGTTATCTCACAAATTAAATGAATCCAATATCGAATGTAATAAAATAAGTCTACTTTTGGGTTAAAGTATTGTTTTCAGCAAAAATATTTTAGAGTTTTAAATATATTTTCCTTTTTTAAAATATGAAGAGTCTATATAACTATATAATGTTAATAAATAAAGTTAATTCAATTTTAATATGAAGTAGAAAGAAGAAATCAATTAAAAGTAATTATTTGTGAATAAGATTATTTACTACAATATTTCCTACCACTGATTCCCATATGAAATCAGCAACAATATGAAGCCCGGGGGATCCAGATTTCAATTCTTGGCCGTCAGAGGGCTTATGTACTACTCTGAAATAGATTTCGATGTGAACAACCGCTCAGATAGTTATGTCTAGTACGGGACGTGGTCAGTGGACCTCCTTTCTTAATTTCCCGAGGGAGGGCGCCTTGCGTCCATGGACAAATCGAACCTTTGCACATGTCATACACCACTCCGGCCGGGATCCTATTACTTTTATAAACAACATTAATACGAATGCCTTCCGAGCTAAAAGGACGAAACCCTATATGAGATATCGTATTGTTTCGAATCCAGATATTGTTAGGCATCTACGAGTCCATTATAATGTTATGTACCTTTAAAGAAGAGTTGTTTGAAGCTTTGATGTGAATTTTTATGCAAACTATTGCTTTAATATGAAATAAAAACTCAATTTGATATTGCCTGACGGGAATTTCTTTAGCAGTACTCTTTGATCATTGTAAGGGGTGAAACGTTTCTTTTTAGTTAGGGAAATTCTTTGTAATGGTATATTTTTTGTGTTTATTTAGAACATTAACCCTATTAGAATTTATGCCTACGCTCTATTACTTCAAGCGGCTAAGATGAAAGGATAATGTTTTAATAACTTGCAAATATGTAGACGGTAGAGTAGCAAAAATATAACGTTATGTTATGATAAGTAATTATTTCATAATAATAAATATTTACATGGAGGAAATAATTAAACAAGTTGCAAAAGCGTAATGATTAAACATATTAATAGTTAAATTATTTATCTGTATAGACGCGAGGTCGTCGTTTATTACTACATTAATAAATAATTATAAATTTATAACTAAATAATAAAAACTGTTGGAGAAATGTTATCATCTCTATTGAAAATTGAATACATTTGAATGTAAGTTTCACGAAGTCTTTGTACGCATAAGCTCTTGTCAAAATCAGTATGTAGTCCGCTCGCGGACCTGTGCTTATAGTGCATTAAAAACATAAATCCTCATCTGAACTGGTTGAGCACGTGTCGTGCTTAGTCGAAATTCGTTATCGGGAACGACTCTCAAAGGATTTAATTTCCTGTCGACGAAATGAAAATCGATTAGTTTGATTTCCGCCGGCCGCCGGCGCCGGTTCGATAGTTTCCGATGTTCAGTCGAATTTAATAAGAGACGATAGTTAATCTAACTGGAACACATAGTAGGGGTGGGTCCACAAAACAGTTTTTATGAATGTGCGTCCACTTATATATGTCATTGAAATAAACTATTACGAGATAATTAATATTGTGTCGTATGAAATAAAAAAATATATTGTAGGAATATTTTATGTCACGTACTTTTTTATTACATTAAATATGTATCTTTCACATTTTAATAACTTCTATCTTTCTTTCTTTCAAAATAATAACATGCAATACAATAAAACTATATATGATTCAGCGTCGTCAATTTCTGGTTTTTAATAAATTAAAAAGAATGATTTTATAAATTAGACGATAAAATGACTACAAATTTAATATTGACTATTATTATATATTTTTAAAGAAAATTTTAACATTTCAACACCAAAATCACTTTGATATTACATTTATATTGTATAAGATAAAATTAGAGTATAACCCGAAAGTATTTAACTACCTCTGTCTATCCCGTGTTAGATGTGGCTTGAAAATAGATAGATAGTAAATTATTCAACACGGACAAAGTCGCATCGGACCGTTAGTTAATTTATAAATGTTTAAAAGGTCGAGGTCTGTATAAATTATAGAGCTGTGTCGATCCTCCCCTTTCTGATAAACGCGAAATATTTGATGACGCGGGAGGTTTGATCCTTCCAGGGGTCATAATGGTAATGATTATTACCTATACTTATATAGATAGATGATTTATTACTTGAACGATCTAAAATTATTGTATCTTCAATTCAAATAAGGGCTGCATGCATAAGTATTGTAGGTATATGATCAATGGCGATAACACAATCATCTGATATGCTATCATGCCACACGGCTAGATAGAAAATGGAAATTTTTATATATATGTATACCAACACACATATATATATATATATATAGAATTTTCCGTTTTCTATCTCCTGTACGTTAGTGGCATTGCTAGTGTCTTCTATATTTGATATGAAGACGACTAGTGACAAGTGAGTGAGTTTCTATATTCATAATACTTTATAGTAAAAATAAGTGAATATATAAGGACATAGCGTATTTCTTACACAGCCTTACATTTAGAAGAAATATTTGAGTTATATTTGAGAATAGTTTTCTGTTACCTATAAGTTTAATTTTTTCCCGCATTCCTCATTCGCGAAAAATTATACATGTAAGTAGGATAGACAGAAAAAATATTGGAATAGTTTTATTACTCAATTAGTGTTGATAAGATGCTATAATATTAGTAAACGCTGTTATATGACGAACAAAGATTCTTCATGATAAGTTAACTACATAAGACAGTAAAGTGTTAAAGGGTCTTCGTGAATATTTATTATCAATGAGTACAGTAGAAAAAAGGTTATGTGTTAGCGAAATTATCTTTAAAATTTATAATTACAAACACATAATTTTTTGAAAGGTAATGCCACAATTCATGATCACTTACCAAACGAGAGGAACACGGCGGCTTGTCCTCCTGAAACAAACACAAATGGGCAACTTTTAATTAAAATCCTTCATTACAAAGTTTATGATTGTTCTTAATAATGAATTAGAAACTGGAGAGCCGGATTTACCCCTTATTCAGTGCTTGCGGTTACAGAATCACTTAACTGTTGAGTTGTAGGAAAGCAATTATATGTAGGTGTGTTGGTGAGAATAAAAAAAATGATATTTTTATTTCTGTATATATTAATCAATTTAAAATAATAACAATAACAACTTAGCTTTTTATCACAGCATAATACAATGATGGCTACGGAATTAGCTAAAAGGGCCTCTAGTCAGCTGTTTGTTGCCACCTCTCGAAAAAGACAGCATTCGTGATAATTTTAAGTGAATTATATATACGCACGAATCTAGTGTTACATTCTGGATTCAAATCAATACCTGATCTATATTTGTCTGATAACCAAGCACGTTGCAAAAAAAAATAACTGAAATTAGATAGGGTTGCACTGTTTTACTATAGGTAATCTTTTGTAATATTGTAAGTACATACAGTAACTATACTACAAATCTTTCTTTGGCATTGAGTAAAAAAAAATATCTAAGCATAGTTAATATTCTCTACACTGCCCAAGCACGTGGGTTGGTTAAAGTCTTACAAGCATGGTGCGTGTTGGGAATCCCACGGATTCTATTTCATCATAACACCCACGGGATAAGTTGGGTTCACCCATACTACTTTCGGAATACAATTGTTTTCTATTCACATTATGTATGTATTTACAAAAATATATATTTAAGATTTTATATCAGTTATTTGATATCCATAATATAAGTACTGCTTCACTTGGAACTGGATGATGCTGTGTGAATTATCCTGGGTTAATAATTATTATAGGCAACAAATACCATTACGACTGTTATTTCAGGAAGGGTAGTAGAGAATGCCTCTATATAAAATGTAGATGATGTTTTGAACGCAACACTTGGTATACTCAAATTCAGATTTTTAATCCTACGTGGTAGAGAGTAAGTGTATTATTAGTAATGTGGACTATTGATCCCATTGCTAGCAATGTACTATGTTAGGTTGAGTTACACCTGGAATTGGAGTTTCCTTGATACCATAGTGGTTAATTGCCATTTACCAGGCTAAATGAGCAGACTTCATGCTCATTTTATGATTCTCCACTGTCACCCCCACGTTAGCGCAAGCAGGAGTATGATTGCATTATCGTACATAAAAAGTATCCTACGTAGGCGGGGGCGATCCTACCGCAGCCTCAACGATTTATTTTTAGTTTGATATTTCACCGGAGATAGTCAGTCAGGGATATGAATTGACACACATTTTTTTCAGTGTCGGCAATATTTGTACCCAAGATGGCAGACAGGCAGACAGACCCTTATGGCTTAGTGAAGATCTGGCTCTTGACTGTTTACTATACATACTTTTAATAAAAATAGTATTAATATCCATTTAGACCTAAATTAATTTGTAGTTCTGATGATTAAACACATTGTTCTTACACGTGGCCTTAAATGCAGTGTGCATTACAATGGAAACTAGCTAATAAACAATTATAGATATGTCAGAAACATAAAATATGGTTAAACACGTCAAATTTGTATTTAAAGGTTTTTCTTTTGCCAATAATACAACAATTTTCTTTTCGTGACAACCGTAATCAAATATACGGAACGTAACGGGGGTACCTATCTAAAAATAAATAATAAATATATATAACTAAAAATATAACTAAATAAATAATAAAAATAAATAAAATATATATATATATATATATAAATAATAAATATATTTAATACTGTAACTCCACATAGTCATTTATTTTATAGCAATTTCATCAGCGTGATCGGGATGTAAGGATCGACCGGGATAAAAAGTTGATTATGATCTTTTTCATGATAAACAGTGTACGTACCTACATGCGTATATATTACATATAGACATTAACAAATTGATTGACAAGTTCTATTTTGTCATTTCTATTTTTATTTAATATTTCACGAAGGTAGACTAGCACTGTAAATAGGCAATGTAAATTATTAAGAATAAATAGAATAATATAAATGAATGACTTTGTGAAAAGTCGTTGGTGTGGGTACCTTTATCGTCATGTTTTAGCCGCCAGGCATGCTTCGGTATAACTACAGGATAAGAGGCATGATTTCTTGGTTTTTCGGAAAGACAATGCATGATCATTACAGTGAATCACAATCATCACTCATGTGATCATTAACATGATGTCTGTAGTGCATGGATATAAGTGGTATATAAGTGGTAGTGGTACCATAAGTGGTAACCATCACTTCCATCCGTGACATGTAATATATAGTATACATAATGGTAAGCCATCAAGTGGCCTATCAGCTTGTTTGATATTCTAGAATACAAATTTGTTAGAAAGCTTTTTACCATTCGTATTACAATATCGAGGTAAACTTTATAATGAACGTAGGTATCAACTTAAAGATAGGAAATGGTTCGAGATTGAATAAAATTAAAGGTAGAAACAACTTGGAATTTAATCATAACAGCGCTTTTAAAATAAGAAGCAAAGTTGCTTTAATAAAGAGAAAACACCAATTTTGTTATTAAAATTTAAGATAGATCCTAAAAGGTACGCTAAACTTCGTTTCACCATTTAATTTTTTAATATCTTAAACAGCAGATTCTTAAGATTATTTCCGGCTCCTATTATATCGTTATTATAATCTTCGTCTTAATAACAATTATATAATACAAAGTATTGGTCTACCAAATAGTTTAGAGGTCACAGAGAGAGCGACTAATTCATTTTTGGTCATCTGAGATTCCGCCTTGTCATCTTGTAGTCTATTGAGATGATTATATATTTCGAGTGAAAGTGAAATAGTACAGCGAAAAAAATGAGCAATTTTAAGGCTTTCTTAGTTTTTAAAAAACATTCTTAATTCTTCAGTAATTAATATTTTTAAGTTTAAAGATCTATTAAAAATAAAATGATAATTTTAGTAACATTGGTGACAATTCAATTAAGACAACAATTACGTTTTTTACTTACATTATTAACTGAGAACTAAGAATAATTTTCCGGCCCTACTGAGATTTATTTAAACAATTTACATAAAAATTAATGCTCCATTACACCCGCCGAAGCAAGGAGAGCCATTTTAATTTCTAAAACTCGTGCAACGCAAAATTTGTTAATTAAACTTGTTTTATTCAATGAAACTGAGAATGAGTTCCCGAAATTAATCAGTAACTAAGTACCTATTTGAATAAGTCGAGAAAAAGAAACTTCTAAATTGGCGGATTTGATGGCGAAATTAAATTAAATTTTATTAGAAACAGTAAAGCTTTATGCATACTTTTTCTAATCATATTTAATCGTACAATTATAACAAGAGCAAGAAGCTAATAAAATGCATCGCTTTATGTAATTAATATTCTGTATAAACAATAAAAATTAATGGATAGTACTATAGATCTTGTGATTCATTGTATTGTACTAGAATATCATTCATTAGAAAATAAATAATTTCTTTATTTACCATTTATTCAATAATGAAGTTAATACTTATTACGTATAGAAATAGATAATCTTTGAATAAATTAACATAAGCATTATTCTAAAGTCATGTAATACTTTTTTATTCCACCGCTCAGTCGGAAATTAGATTCTTTTAAAGAAACGTTGTTCAGCATTACATATTTAAGATTTTGTGGGAATACAAACTGCTCAAATAGCAAAAATGACAAAAGTAAATAAATATAATAGCTACTTGAATAATAAAATAAATCAGGTCAGACTAGTCCCTACAAGCAGCACTCGTTCAAGAGTATAATGGGTGAGCCAGCCATCTATGCGCCCAACCATATTTCAGAGAGCCCAATGACCCGATCCACCACGCCATCACCTGTCTGGATATTTAATTAAAATCTCATGACCCATGACCATTTCACAACTAATATTATATTATTATACTAAAGTTGTGGTATTCACATAATACACATTAACAAGGAGGGGGCTTGCGACAATCAACATAGATACCGCTACTCACTTTTACTTTATGAAATCAATTAATATCATCAGCACCATACATCTATTAAACATTGTTATCATTCAGTTTACATATATATATTTAAAAAAAAAATACGTATAAGAATACATATCTCTCAAAATTTGTTTATTGCCAAAGATCCGTTAGGCAAGGATCTGTTGCCATTTTATTACCTTTTATATAAAAATTCTTGTTTTAAATTTTTGTTTGTTTAGCTTTAGGTATATTTATTCAACAAACTATGCCATTGGCCCGTGAATCGTTTGCGATGCGGTTCATCGACGCCGGGTGGGTTTTAAATCTGAATTTATATTGTTGAATTTGGTCACGTGTGAAAAAAGAACATTCTTTTTCGATGAATAAATCATATTGAACGATTTGTGTTTGAAATTCTAATTTGGTCATAAACTTCAGAGGAAACAGTCAGACTATTATCTGACATTATAAGAGTATTTAGTTGTCTGTAATGTGTTATTGCAATATCTTTTAATAAGTAGTTATAAGCTTGTAGATATAATACTTCAGCTCCTTCGTGCTTAGTTTCTAAACTGCTTATTACGTTCTGACAAAGTATTGAAAGCTTTGTCGCGTATTATACGTGTAATAAGACATGCGCTACAACAAAACATATATTATCAACCGGTAATCTCTTCTTATAAAATAAACATCAGTAGTATTATAAATGTATATATATTATTTAGTATTTTGTAATAAAAAAATCATATGGTAAAGTTGATACATAAAAGTGATTCTCTTTGCGTATAAGCAAAGAGAAACACTTTTATTTACATTTGCTAGTCAAATTGACCACTCTTCTTTTCTAAGAAGCTTGATTACATTTCGTTTAAATTTTATCAACTTTAAAGGCACTGACAAATGTTTGTGATGTTATAGAATTAGTGAGACAGATGGATTTTAGTATTGGAGGTCAAACAGGAAGCCAAGAACCAAACAAGCAGATCA